GAGAGATCGCACACACTAGGCCCAGCCCCCAGATGGACACGGGGCCCCCTGCAGGCCCCCCACACGCTGGCCACGCTCCCTCAGGACGGCTCTGGACCACACTCCCCACGTCACCGTCGCTGGCCACAAGCCACGGACACGAGAGCTGAGGCCCACGGGGGCGTCCATGCCAGAGCTGGCACGTTCTCCACACATGAGGATGGAAGCCCAGAACAGCAGGGACAACAGGTACGACAAGGAGCCTCTATCCAAGATACGGGGGCACTGAGACAGGTAGATGGCCGAAGGGGGCTTCTCTTCCGGTCCCTCCCCTCCCCAGAGCGCAGGCTTCTGTCCAGTCCTCGGGGGCGTGGGCCCTGCTGTGCATTCCTGGTCACGACACCGTGTCCTGGGGGACAGCAACCCCCTGCAGAAAGGGCAACTGGGGGCTTTGTGGGAGGCCAGCACCCTCTTCCCAGGAGACCAGGAGCCATGGGTCTTGGGTGAGCCAGGTAGAGCTGGCCACATGGGGCAGGTGTAGGCAGCCTCGGCTCCAGGCCCTGGCCCAGCGCCCCACAAGCCCCGGCCCCTGTTACTCTTTCTGCTTCCCCCTCTTCATTCCCAGCCCCGGATGCCTCTCTCCATGCCTCCCAGCCTCTCTCTGCCCCATTGCGGGGCCCCCTCTGGCTACCCACACCCTCCCCCTCCCACAGCATCCCCTGAGAGCTCAGGGTGTCCCCTCTGGTTATTCCACCCTCCCCCCCAGTGTCCCTCAGCAGTCCCTGCCCTGCACCTGGTCCCCAGTTCTTCCTCTCTCCCCAAGTCCCTCCGGCCTCCGGCTCTCGCCCATGGTTGCCCACCCCATCTCTCCCTCCTGGTGTCCCCAACACCTGGATGCTCCTGGTCTTTGTGAACCCCAGCCCCCCCCCCCGCCCTAGTGTCCCTCTGGCCTCCTCTCACTTAGCCCCCAGCACCCGAGCCCCTGCCCTGCCCCGTGTCCCCTGTTTATGGCAAACGCAGCAAAGTCACCCTTCTGCCCCATGCCCTCCCTTGCCCCGCGCCTCCCACCCCCAACCCCACTTTTCTTTAAGTTTCCAAATCAACCTTCCTCCAATAATAATGATAAAGCAGGAAGCCGGGCCGGAGGACAGTGCAAATTTTTCTTCTTGACACGGAGTTTCCGATTAAAGGCAAAGGGACATAAATCCTCCCGCGTAATTGCTGTGTTCCAGCGCCAAGCCACGCGGAAGGGAGGCCCCCACCCTCTCGGCCCTGCCCCTGCGAGCCCCGCCCAGGCCCGGCAGGGTTTGATCCCCAGAGCCTGGGGCCGGGGCTGGCAGGGGGAGGGAATGGTCCTGGGCGCTGCAGGGAGGGACAGCACCACCCACCCAGGCTCCCGGAGGTTCCCTCCCGGGTCCGGCAGGATGGACACTGGCGACGGCCCCTGCCCGGCAGCCCCTGCCCCCTCCCCTCGCGAGCACGTTGGCAAAGCTGCTCGGCATCACCATCTCCCCTTCCTGCAAGGACCTTGGCGATGACTGAACACATACTAGATGGCGGGAAGGACCCCAGACATGCCGTTCGACTCCCCCGTTCTGCAGGTAGAGAAAGCGAGGCCTGCGGAGGGGCCCGGCTGGCGGCAGAGCCTGGCCCGGGCTGCTGTCCTCACCCCCATCAGAACTGGACTTGGCACGCGTGGGGGAGGGTGCCCCTGCTGAAACCCATTAAATCTGGGCCCCACAGCCCCTCCCAGTGGCTTCTCACCCACTAGAATTTTTATAAAAATAAAGAATGCTTGATGTTCTTATTCCTTCCACAGATTCGAAAAAGAAGGCACAAGAAGAGCGTGTAAATGACTCAAGGTCAAGGGTGAAGGACAAAGTCTGGAGTCCCCAAGTCTCCAGACTCCGCCTTCACACTCAGAACTTTATACCCAGAGACTCCATCCTGGCGACTACAGCGGGCTCTCTCGGCCTGGCCAGGAGCTCTGCCTCGCAGCCTTAAAAGTAGCCCTGGTCCTCGTGAGAGGCACAGAGCCCTCCCTAGCTCTGTTCCCGCCTTTTTCCAATCTTGCTACCTACCCTCCTCCTCCAGGAAGCCCTCCTGCTGATTCCACTTTCCTGTTTTTCCCTGCACTGAGCAACCCCTCCCATTCCTTGATCAACTCCTGGCTGTGTTCTCCTCTCCTGTCACACCAGGGGGGGAGTCTGTGCTCCTCCCTCTGAACTGTCCTTCCCCTCTACCCATCCAGGCCCAGACCCAAGCCGCTTGGTGCAGTGGGTGTGTGTAACCCTCACAGGCGTGGTTCTGATGGTTCTGGGAACCCAGCAGTCCTGACTCTTCATCATTGGTAATTTCTGCAGACGCTCGGGATCCCCCCATCAGGAGTAAACTATGGTGGTTTCTGGGTTTCCCTGGCCCTCTGGGAGCCATCTGGTCTGCTGCTCCCCCCAGGCCCCTTCCCCTGCACCTCAGATAAAGGAGGCCTCCCGCTGGGACCCAGTGGAAGAGAAGTCACAGCTGCCTAACTCAGACAGGACCCCCCAAAATTTAACCTCCAGGTTCCCCAGGAGCCTTGGGACATTCTGGCAATGGGGTTCCTCTACCAGACTGTGACTGACCTTCCACACTCTGCCCAGCTGCACCCAACCCAGGCTCCCCTCTGCCACAACAAGCCTGAATGGGGAGCAGGTTAGTGAGGGCTCGGAGACCGTGAGAAGGGGGTGCGGTCTGGGTGCAGACAGGACTGTGGGAGCAGAAAGGCTGAGGGGTCCTTGGGGAGCCTGTGTCCGGGCTCCAGCACCACGCCGGGCCCACACTGTACCCTGCAGCGGCCAGGTAGGTGTGGGTGCCACGAGGGAGGGGGCTTTGAGTGTTATTCTGGATTCTGATGTAGGGCTTGGGGTACTACTCGAGCGCCCTTAGAGATTATGTCAGGGCTCCTGGTCTTTCTGGCAGGGGCTCGCTGGGGTGCCACTATGAGGGGTGCCACAGTGAGGCCGCCGCCTGCTGCCTGGGCTCTGCAAAGGAAGGAAGCTTTCTGTAAAATAAAGCTGACGAGACAGAGGACAGAGGGGGCCTGGGTCAGAGGGGTGATCTGAGGCCCTGTTCCAGCCCATCTTGGGGGCCCCCAGCCCTGGTCAACAGCCTCACCTGTTCATCGCGAAGGGCTGGCTTCCCCTGGGCGTGACCGCACAAGCCAGAGGCTGGGTGCCCCCGGCGCTCTGCAGGGAGGAAGAGCCAGGGAAAGGGGCCAGCAGCGGAGTGTCCTCCCAGGCTGCGCCCCAACAACAACCCGGCTCTGAGCTCCCGCCTCATTCTTAGACTGCTGCCAAGGCAGGGCAGAATCTTGGGGAGAAAGACCCAGACCCAGACCCTTCCTCTACCAGGGATGCTAGGCTCGCATTCTGGTTCCAGGCAGATAAATAAAAAATTGATCTTACAGTTTAATCATGGGAGATGGGCGTGTGGGACAAGGACTGGGCAGAGAAGCGGGGAGGGAGGGGCTCCCGGGTAGGACCAGGAGCAGGTGACTCTGCCTGCAGAGATCCGGGGTAGGAGAGATCATTGCGGCTCTTATTCCATCCTTCACTCGGCAAACTGTGAGGATGCCCTGTACCGGGCACAGCACCAGGGCTTACAGAGACAAGTTAGAGAGGCAGGGGCAGCAACTAGAGTGACACCCCAAAACTCAGTTCTTCCCCAAGTACTTGCATCAGCTGCAGAGTTCTGCAGTTTCCTTTCCATGCTTCTCTGATCCAAAAGGAGTTTGTCGTGCTTAATTCTAGATTCCTCCTCCTCAGGGCCCCTGCCGCCCCAGCCTGGTCCTACTCCCTGCCACTCAGATATGCCAAGCTCCTTCTCTCGGGGCAGCCCTGGGAGCACCTTTTGGGCCACGGGCACAGCAGGAGGGATCAGGCACTGAGCACCTCCTGGCTGCAGGGAGGAGGGGGCTGAGGAGCAGGGTGGGAGGCCCAGGAAGAGCTGTGTGCGGCCCGAGTCCAGGCCTGAGAGCCTCCGACTCTACGTCATGCTGGGAGAGGCATCATTCAACCGCCCAGGGGTGGAGTGGGGCAGGGGGAGGGGGGTGAAAATCACCCACAGGCCATTAACCTACTTTTGCAACTTCATTAAAACAGAGTCTCCGACATGTCACCATAAATTGTGTTCTGAGGAGGAAGCCAGTTCCGACATCTAGTTCTGGCAGAGACGCCTCTAAGGAGAGGCTGGAATAACAGGGTGGAAGGGACAGTGTGTGTGTGTGTGTGTGTGTGTGTGTGTGTGTGTGTGTGTGTGTATGTGGTGGGGGAGGGAGGCTCAGCCAGTTGCAGGATCTCCAGGTGGCCAGGCCACTGCGTGAGGGCAGGGAAGGGATTTCATGTAAAGCCATACAGTCACGGCCCCGATCAAGAACCCCTAGCTATAGCTTCCTGGTGTCCCCCATAACAAGCCTACTAGCTCTTCTCAGCCTTTTGAAGCCTCTTTCAAGAAGCCCCTTTCCACCCCTCAGCCCCCTTCTCCAAGGGGTGCCCCAGCATCATACTCACAGCTTGGGGAGGCCTGAGCCAGCAGGACAAGCCCCAGGGGCAGAGGCTGCTTATGTGGATTCTGCCCCTTAGTGTTACTGAGCCCCCAGGCCCAGAGGCGTTCAAGTTCTGCCTTTGGCGTTTAAGGACCTGTGCCTAGTGACTGATCCTTTCTGCGCCTTAGTTTTTTCATGCATAGTAATGGGGTCTCCTTGGTGGCCTAGGGGTTAAGTCTCAGCCCTATCACTGCTAGGGCCTGAGTTGGATCCCCAGCCAGGGAGTTGCCCCACATATGGCACAGCAGACCTCTCCTGTCTCCCCTGTCTGCTCTGCTCCCCACTCTGTCTCTGGTGACTTTTTTTAAAAAGACCTATTTATTTATGTATACAAGAACTGGGGTACAGGCCAGAGGGGGGCTGAGAGGATTCACCAGAGACAGAGTGGGGAGCAGAACAGGTGGATCCACTGAAATCCACTGCTGAGGGGAGCAGCAGGCGAGTCAGGAGAGGTCTGCTGCGCCTGTGAGTAGCTCCCTGGCCAGGGATGGAACTTATGCTGCAGTGGCTGTGGACAGCTTCATTGGTTGCATCTTAACCCCTTGCACCACGAGGGAGGCCCCTTTGGTGACTCTTCTCACCACCCCCTGCACCCCCGGCCTATACCCCAGCTCTTTTATGCAAAAATAAAAGAGTTATTGAGTCTTAAACAGGATCACCCATGGAAAATGTCCAACGCAGAGGACCCAACACTCTGGGGGCCAGCAAACACACGCTGTTGTTGTCACATATTATTCACCTCGGCCTTCAAGGCCTGAAATGGACCCGGAGTTCATGTAGTCTGGTCGTCTCATATCCCAGATGAGGACGCGCATGTAGACTTGGTCAGAGGGAGAGCCCGGGTTTCCAGTCACTCAAGCCAACGTGGTCCCTCTGAGCCTCAGTTTCTGCAATTGTACAGTGAAGGGGTTAGAGCAGAAACGATGGTTGCTCCATCATCATCGCCTTAGACGTGCTTTTCAAACCAAGCGCACACAGAACACTAAAACACGCAGGCGCGCGAGGTTGGCGAGAACTCGGCGGGGGGCTGGCCTGGCCTGGAGCCTGTGCAGCTCCCCCTCCTCGTCCCAGCGGCAATCCCAGAGGACTTGGGTGAAACTAAGGTGTCGGGACCCCAGACCAAGTTCCTGGCCGGGGTGACCTCAGGGCTTCCCCCACTGGCACTCTGGAAAGCGAGTGCCTAGGGAAAGCCAGCGCTCTGCCAAGCAGCCCCAGGAGAAGAGGGAATCTGGGGAGACTGTGGGGATGGGGTGGGGCGGAGGAGGGATGGTGCAGGGTGGACCCCAGGGCTTCCATAAAGGCAGCTCTGCCCATCCAGGTGGAACCACTCCTGACACGCCTCTGCCCTCTCAGCTCGCCCAAGCTCCGAGCCATCAGACTCCTGCCATCGCTGCAGCCCATGAAAACATGGTCATAAAACAGACATTTGCCTTAATTCTCACTGGAAGGGGCAATTTAGCACAGGCTGTTTGCAAGCTGTTGGAATTCTTTACAAGACTCGAGCATGTTTTCCCAAAATGCTCCCCCCACCCGGCAGATCCTGGGGTCAAAGTTCACATATAAGTATTTAGGGGAAAGGGGTGGGAGGGAGCATGGGAGATCGAGGGGAATGTCCATACAGACATAATCAAGAGCGGCTGGGAACCCGAGAGCCCGAGAAAGTTGGCTCAGGCCAGCCCCTGGGCCGAGGCTGGCGCTGTGTGACTTTGCCCAAGTCCGCCTCCTTTTCTGGGCCTCCCAAAAGCAGAGGCAGCCCCAGTCATAAAACGAAACACAGTGACTCAGTGCTAACCCTCACACCCTTGTTCAATACCCAGAGACCCGCGCTCACTGCCAGACCGGCGCCCACGAGTCCAGGCTGGCACTGTGTCCTCGGGCCTTCTAGCTCTCGCTCCCGCCAGCCTTGAACCCTCACAGACTCCTGACCCTTCTCGGCCGTCAGTTTCCCCTTCTTGGTTTCCCTGGCCGTACCCGAGGGTTCGTCCTCCCTAGAGGACTCTCACTAGAGACTTTCCGCCGCTTCCAGGATGGGGAAAGTGAGCAGTGCCCCTCCTTCCGAAGCCCGGCTTCATTCCTCTCCCTCAATTTTCCCACAGCCCATCCCCTCTTCCCTCAAGAGCCCTGGGCTGAGAGGCGTCAGCAGGAATAAACCTCCCCCCGCCCTCAACAAGCAACCGCTGCAGAGTCTGGAAGCCCAGAAATCCTTGGAGAGCAGAGTGGGGGTGCTGAGGAGCCTGCCCCGCAGCCCCCCGCCGGTACTCCAGGTCCCCTTAGCTCCTTGCAAAGAAAGTTCCCTGCCTGTCGGGTCAGGTGGAGAGAAGGGCCTGGCGTGCACTCTGGGGCCTTCAGCCAACCCTGGCCCTGGGAAATGAAGGTGAGCCAGCCAGAGGCCTAGCATGGAGGACAGGGGTTTCCCTCACTCAAGAGTCCGCCCCCATCCTCACATTGCTGAGGAATTTTCCCGACCTCTGTGGACAGTTGTAGCCTCAAGATTCCCAGGGAAGGGTGATGAAGGAAAGGGGATGCGTCTCAGGCTGGGAGAGATCCCGGGGGTCAGGGTCAGACGGGGGGGGGGGGGGGGGGGGGGGGGGCAGGATGTCCTGGAGGCAAAGGAGTCAAGAACATGGGCGACTGCTGAGGGGCTGCACTGCTCAGCCGCTCCACCAGAGGAGCTGGGGGGGCGCCCCGAGGTGGCCACGCCCAGGCTCCCGCAGTAGCTCAGACCCTGCTGAGGCCTGAGGCCACGTGCCATGGGCTGATGTGAGCAGAGGAGTGTGGGTTCTCCAGGGCAATATCCAGGAGAGAAGAAACAGGGTCCACATGAGGAGAAACGAAAGGGAAGGGGACAGAACACCCCAAGACAGAACACCCCAAGTAATTGAGCCCCTATATGTACCTTGTACATGAATTAAGCGTCTACTTTTAATCTCCTTCAACATTAACCTTCTGTAACGCCCCCAGCGAAGCCTGCAACATTAACCCTATTTTCCATATAAATAAACCAAGAGTCCACGAGGTCAAGGAAGAAGCCCAAGGTCACGTGCCTCTGTCTAGCCCTGACGTCCGTCTGCTTTCTCCCTGGGTGGGGGCGTCCGTGGACCCTGGAGTCTGATCGCCTTGACCTAGCTGCTGCCCAGCCTCCTCACCTCTGTGTTGGACGAGACGTGCTGCGTATCTGTCTGCGGATGTCTGTCTCCGTCCTCACCACCACAGAAACATGGAATCAAAAAGCAGGGGTCCCAGCTCCTTGGGGTGCAGTTGGGAAGCTGACGTCCAGAGAGCGTAAGCTGCTTGCTGGGGCTGCAAGGCCGGGAAGAGCCAGATGGAGGACTTGACCCACTCCAGACGGATGCCCCTTCCTCGGCAGGCACTCGGCTCCTCACACAGATGCCAGGCACCATGTCGGCCCTGCCTTGAAAGCTCAGAAGTGGGGAGATGGGGTGGGGCCCACCTCCCCAACCCATGGAAAGACTTACCCTCCAAACACCGAGGACAGCATGTTAGGGGGCAGCTGCTGTGCACTGAGGCACTCAGGAAGGCTCCTGGAGAAGGCGGGTCTAAACCAGGACAGACGTGAGTGGGAAGCGGCCACTGGCCTGGTGAGCAGGAGGAAGAGGATGCGCAAGTGTGGACCCCTTTTCCTTCAGGAAGACACCCCTGCAAGGGGGTTGTGGTGCCCCCGGCTGGGCAGACCTCCAGAGCGGGGCCAGGGAGTCGGAGCCTCACCCCAGGGCCTGGTGCACCATGGCGGGATTTCAGCTGGGGCAGGAGAGCCCACGCAGAGAGATTCATTAGGAAATTTCCCCGGGAAGCGCTGGCGGGGCCGGTGCCTGGGGATAGCCGCAGCCACACAGCCCGCGCGTGTCTTTGTGCTGTCCCCAGGGGCGCGCCTGGGCCGGCCCCGCGCGTGCGCCCACACAGACGCACGTGTGCGGCTCATCGACAGCCGGAGCCGGGACGCCGGGTTCACACAGCCTCCCCGGTGGGCTCTGGGGGAGAGGACGAATCCTGGCTCTCCACCCTTTCCCGCCACCCGCTCCGAATGGGCAAGTGCTTGCCACCTGCCCCAGACATGGAGCGTGCCCTGCACCCAGCATGTACGTGAAGAGACCCCCTAGAAACAGGGACACGCGCCCGGCAACAGGGTGAGCATCTCCTCACCTGACGCTTCCCTAAATCTCACGCTGGTCGTGAACACTCCAGGGCCCCAGGCAGGGCACTGTCGGGGAGGGGAGGGCAGAAGGGCTGGGGGGGGCGGGCGGCTAGGGGGCACTGCTGGCGAGGGCACTTCCGCCCGTGAGACCACGTGCATGACAGGAGGGGGCACCCAGGAGAGGCGCACGCAGGGATGGGCTCAGCTCTTGATTTTGTTTTATTTTCGCGACTGTCACAGGCACACCACGGCGCTCGCTGGCCCCCGGGGATGGCGCTAGTCACCACGGCCCTGCTCACCTCGCCCTGCTTCCCTGCCTGACACCCCTGGGAATTCTAATTTGGGGATTCACAGGCTCCAGGGACCAGAAGAACGCTGCAGCGGTCCCCCTGCCTCCGTGTATGCCCCAAGGCCTCGGGCCCCTTTGGAGAAGCCTGGGGGCTTCTGCCCTCTTCAGTTCTGATATGGAGCCTCCCACACGGATCTGTGACAACCTTCCGGAACGTCTAGCTCAGGGTCACCCCCACCCGTCCAGGAGGCCGTCCTGCCTCCTCCGCTGCTGCTGCCGTGCGGCGCCAGCCTCCTGCTGCAGCTGTTTGCCATGAGCCTCCCGCGGGGCAGGAAGAGGCTCTGATTTGCCTGCTGAGGCGCCTTCCGAACCTCCACCTCCACACTTGTCTTTGACTCAAGTGTATCTCGGGTCCCTGACGGATGGGGGGCTCCTTGACATTTAGACTCTTGTCCTCAGCGGGAAGGACTTGGGAAAAGGTCATTTATTCAAAGTCCTATCCCAGCTTCCCAGGTCACTGATGTCGTGGCTAGGATGTGTCCTTATTCTCTCAGACTTCCAGAGGCTATCCCCTGACTCTGCTCCCCAGGCCAGCGTACCCCCCAAACCTCCATCACCCCAGCGCGATTCAGGGAAGGCCTGCCTCCAAGTCCGGCTCTAGCTCAGATGTCAGCCTCGGCCCAGCCCCAGCGGAGCCGGGGGAAGGCAGCGCACCGCCCAGCCCCCAGCCCCGCTCCAGAAGGAGGTAATTAGGAGCTGTGCGGTCCCTGTCCCCCAACAGGTACAGCCTAGCAGCTGCATCCATCATCAGGGGCAGCTGCCAGAGAGGGGGCGTGTCACGTGACTTGGCAGGACCAACAGGAGGGCGGGGGGAGCCCTCGGGGCTGGGGATTGGCTAGTCTGCAGCCTGAGTAGAGGGCTGCAGGGGATAACCTGAGAATGACCTTGTGAGGACTTGAGCCCCCAGTCTCTGCTCCTCCCGAGACACCCCTCCGCTTCCCCCAGCTCGCAGCCCACAGCCCTGCCAGCGGCCCTGGCCTTGGCATTTTCTCTTCCCCTTCCACGCCTCTGATCCAGGACGCGAGGGCCTGCCTGCTCTTTTTTCTTTTTCTTTTTTCTTTTTTTTTTTTTAAGGAAAGTGGCCTCTTGTGTGCTTCCCAGATCTGAATAAGCCTGGGGGTGGGCTGCCGTGTTCAGCACAGGAGCTGGGGCTCCTTGAGCAGCAGCGGCAGCAGCACAGCGGTTAGGCTCAGAGGGAGCCGGGAGGAGGCAGGAGGGCCCGGAGGAGGCAGGGAGCGCCGGTGCAGGTGCGCGGCTCTCTAATTGCCTGCGCCGGTGCCAGGCGCGTGAAGGAGCGTGTTCGGGCAGCCTGTTCGAGGCGCAGTGCGTGGGTGCAGCCTGGGACGTGTTTTGCATACTCTGCCTGGGCCCGCGACCGTGCTGCGGTGCTCTGGGCCGAGGTGGACGTGTTGACCTTGACCTTTCTGCGCGCTACGTGCACATGTCCTGGGCCCTCACCTGCCTGTTTCCAACCCAGAGGGGGGAACCCCAGCCACTTGCCTGCGCCCGAGACCCCTCAGCACATCACCCAATTGAGCGGGCAGGGCCTCCCCCACCCACCCCTGGAGCCACAGGTCAGGGCGGCAGCTGGCAGGGGAAAAGAAATAGAAAGGAGAGGAGGGGCAGCTTCTCCAACACCTGTGAAGGTTCTTCGTTATATATGCAAATGTCCTCATTAGAGATGCAGAGCACTTCCCAGAGCTAATCGCTGCTGCAGCCATTTCTGCGTGGAAGTGCTGAGCTGGAGACTGCGGGCTGGGAGGAGGGAGAGGAGGAGGAGGGGGCAGGAAGATGGCCCTGGGGTTGAGCGGCACCCAGGCTCCCATGCCAGGACCTGTCCCCAGCGGCCCTGGGCCGGGGAGGGTGGGCAGGGGCGGTAGAATTAGCAGGACCCTGGGCGTTGACTTGGCCTAGGCAGGCAGCCTGAGGGGTGGCATCCCACCCAGGCCACCCGACACCCACCCCGGGTCAGGACTCCACTGCAGGGTCCTTTGGAGGGGTGCAGAGGCCAAATGCACAACCCCCACCCCTATCTCTCCACCCACCCAGCCCCCAAGGCAGTCTCCCTCTGGACCTTGCAGCAGGTGACCTGCCTCTGCACCAGAGGACACTAAGAGCCTCCGCAGTCCCGGGGCCAGGCCAGACACACGGACAGGTTCACACACAGCTTCCCCCTCACCCCTTCCTCGCGCCATTTCTGCCATGGAAGTGGGGGGGCCTCACTGCGGTCTTTTCCTGTCTGCCCAGCATGGAGAACAGAGCCTGAATCTAGCTCTCCTGCCCCTCCGCCCCACTGAACACCCGTTTGTGGACCAGCCTCGCCTTTGTGCCCGGTGCTTCTTTAACCTCGTTGCCACCAACCTGGCACCAGAGACAAACAGTCAACTCACAGTCCCCGGAAACACGCAACCACGACCCCCTCCTGCCAGGGCAGCGCGCCCCGCTCAGGCCAACACGGCCCTCGACGCGACCACACGGGGCAGTGCCGCCTGCTCCCTGTCCTTGAGCTCACGCCTCACCCCTTTTGGGGACTGAGTCCACAGAGACCTCCCCTGCCCTCCCCCCCACCTCTCCTTTCTTTGCTTCTCCCTCCCCCTCCCGCCCTCCTCCCTGGGCACCCGTTTGCCAGGGTTATTTATAGAAGCAAGCGATAAATTCAGTGTGTTTCTCGGCGCGCAAAGCTATAAATAATGGCACAGATCATTAAACCCCGAGAGCAGGCCCAGCCGCCCCGCAAACAAGATGAAGTACAAACCGCCACGTGAGGAGGAGAGGGAGGCGCAAGACAGAGCCCCAAACCCGGGGCCGGTGGGTCCCAACCTGCACCCCACAGCCCGGTCCCAAGGAACTGGGCTCCGAGGGGCCTGCCTGGGTGGCATCGGGGCGGGAAGAGCGGAGCGGGGCCTGGTGGTCACTGCAGGCTGGTGAACCGGCCATCCCCACCTAATTCCACACCCCCCTTGCACCCTGATTCCCGTCTTCCGCCCTCTCTCCTCTTCCTCCTCCATCTTCCCCTCCAGCCCCTTCTCCGGAGCCTCTCTCCTCCGGCCCACCTCTCCGCTCCTCCGCCCCACCCCTTCCTCTCGCCCCTACCTTCAGCCCTCACCTCCCCCTGCCGCCACCTGCTCTCTTCCAGCCTCCCTCCCCCGCCCCCAAACTCCCAGGCCCCAGGAGGGGCCCTGATCCCACCAAGGAGCCCTCGGAGGCAGAAGTCCCCTGTCAGCAGAACGCTCGGGCGCTGCTGCTGATTCAGTGTCTGTAATCTCCCAGGCGGAGGCGGCCGTGGCGGGGGGCAGGCAGGGGGACGGGGAAGATGGATGAGGAGCACAGAACAAAATGGCACGGACACCAGGGACAGGCTCCAGGCGGAGCAAGGGTCCGGGAGCAGAACCAGAGCCCCAATCTGCAGCCCAGCCCCACGCCAGGGACGGGGCAGTGGAGCGAGAGGAGAGAGCCGCGTGGCGGGAAGATGAGGACGCGGGGCAGAGGGGGCAGGCGGGGGGAGGGGGGCAGAGAGATGTTGGAGGATCAGAGATCAGAGAAAGAAGGGTCAGAAGGGAGCCCGAAAAACAAGAGGCACTGTAGGGGACCCTGCCCGGCCTCGCCTGGGCAGCCGCATAGAGCTCCTGAGACTGAGCCACAATGTGGAAGGTTCTGGGGTTCTGACCATGGCTACCATCACCCCCTTCACTTCTAGGTAGTACCTCCACCCCTGGGGAATTCCCTAACCTCACTCTGGCCTACTTGGGAGGTTTCCGTCAGCCCCCACTCTAGGTCACCTACATTCTGGGGTCTTTCACCCCTTCCTGCTGGAAAGTTCTTACTGCTTCCTGCTGCAGGTGCAGCCTCTCTTGAGAGGGCAGAACCTATGTCTAATATGTGCCAAATGAGACCCCAGAAAACGAAGCAATGCTCGACCCCCTGAAGCATAACCAGACCAGGAGTCGGGGGGGAGTCAATTCTCTTCTGGGGATGTCCAGCACACAGACTTCAGATGGGTCCGCAGGGAGAAAACCAGACCTCACCAGAACCTGCTGGTGCTGAGAGCCTGGTGGTACCAGGTTGGGGCAGTCAAACCTCTGAAAGTTGAGGGGGACCCTGCAGGCCTGAGCAAGGAGCAGCCT